CAATAAATGACAGATAGTTGTGGTCATGCTTGGTTAGTCAGTCAGCAGAGGTAGTTTTACTCTCTGAGCTGGAAACATCTCCTGATCAGTGGTCCATGTCTTCAAACCTTCGCCCACAACTCCTTCTCTTCACTCACTTCTCCCTTTCTGTCTTCTGTTGCTCTCACAGGGCATGTGTTTACAGCAGAGTACCTCCTGCTCAATGACAGATACGACAGAGCTTGCCATGAGTCTGTGTTTAGGAGAAAAGTAGCATCATTGCTACCATGCTCAGGAGTCCCATTAAAGCCACGGCCGGATTATAACCCCCACCCCCAAAAATATAATAAATAAAACAAACCTAACCACTGAATAATTCATGAGTTGACACTCAGGAGGAGTGCAGTGGGTGGGAGGATGGTTGCATCATCACTTGTGTCTGGGCCTGTCTTATGAGTTCTTTATTCCAACCCTGAAAATGCGAGAGAGATTCGGGAGGAGGAGGGGTGTGTTTGTACAAAACCTCACAGCAAGAGTGGGAGAGAGAGTGAGTAAAGGTCAGAGAATGTAAAGTCTCAAACAATAGATCCATTTCAACCATGCATCCACACTTCTGGCTTTACATGCTCTTCAAAAATACTGGAACAAAGAAGGATGGGTGTGGCTGCAATGCCGGAGGCGAATGTGGGAATCCTCCCAGGAAAAGCCCTGAACACTAACTGCCCCTCAACCATTTCCCCTCTGACACTTGGAACATGATTAAGACGTGTCTAGAGTCAGAAGAAAGATTATTAGGCGCAGTGCATCCCTTAAAGCTGGGTAAGGTGTGAGCTTGTCTTATTTTCATCTGCAAGAAGAAACTGCCCTCCTGAAAGGCACAGAAAATGAGATCAATCAGAGCAAAGATGCTGATGGGGAGATGAGAAGTGCAGCGATGCACGCCACAGAGCAGAAGCAAAGCAGCGCTAAGAGAAGGGAGGAGTCATCTTTTATTGATTCAGGCATTAATGTACATTATGTACAAATTGGTTGAGGGTGGCCCCTCTTGTGCAGTACTGTGCCGTGCCAACAAATTGAAGCAATTGCCTTGATTTCCACTTGTGGGCGTATGGGAGCTTGCATTTCAAATCCAATGTGATTTTTTTTTCTTTTTTGTCTCCTTGTTTGTTTGGACATTTACCCCACTCATTTGATCCATGTTCGTATACCTTGTTTTATTATTAAAAAAAAAAAAAGCTGCAATAAAAATCTGTGAATCTTCTCTTGTCAAGAGTCCCACCCCTGCTTTTATTTATGACAGCTGAAAAGTGCACAGGAGGGCGTAAATAAAGAATGGAGACAACCTATATTTCCCAAAGGTGGCTTAGACACTGACAGTTGACAATCTGTCAGCCTTTTCATACTAGTGGGGAAAACATCATGAATCAGCTTGCTCAAGAGGGGAGAAAACAAAGATATATGCATGAATGTTCTGTGCTCCTCTATGCTGAAGATACTTGTGTTTATTCCAATAATTGGATCTTATTAAAATCTTCTGTTCTCGAGTCACATATGTGAGGTTTTACGCAGAACTCCATTCCAATGCAGACTCTGACCAAGGTCTGCACACAGACAAAAGGAAACACACTTTACACACGCTCACACGCGCAACTGTGTCCCTTTGTGGACCGTTGCCATGCAACATTTCTCTGATTGGGTTAGTTGAGCTCAAGTGAATGTGCACTCACACACACACACACACACACACAACACACGCTCCTCCCGGTTGATGAGGATCAGATCACACACAAACTCGTCGCCACACCCATCCTCCTCTCCCGCGGGACACAGCTGCTCCTCCAAGGCCGAGGATGGAGAGGGGAGAGAGACATGGCTCTTACAACAGGAGGGAAGTGGTCTCCTCTCTGTGAGCTCTGCTGCTTGGTCCAGGGTCGAAGCTTTCCTTGGCTGTGATGAACGATGGTTCGTTGTTGGTTATATTAATTTTTATTACCACTAAACATCAACCCCTTTTTGTTCTTAGAATGCATACACTTTTCCATTTTAATCAGTGATAAACAGCACCATTTGGATTCTGCTTCTGCTTCATGTGTGCTTCAAGTTCATTTCATAATGTTTTTTTTCATTCTCTAATGATTTTGCTATGAAAAGAGTGCAATCACGTCAAGTGGACTTGAAATCGACACACTCCACTAGAGGTTTTCTACTATATTTGCTGGAGATTTTCTACGCCTATTTTCTTTTGTATGAGTTTATGTTTGTGTTTACAATGGAAGCTGATCTGTCTTCAGAGGTACACATTGATCGTATAATCCCAAAATATATTGAGTCTCGAGTCATTTTCTGTGTGACTAAATTGTTTGTGTTGGATCCTCTCGGAAGGGTGAAGTATCAAAGATTAGACATCGATTGGAAGGGTTTTGTTGTTTACAAAAATTTATTCATACAAATCTTACAACACTTTCATGACATTGAGAAACGTAAGAACCCCATGTAAGGACTTGTGTGTGTTTAACTATGCCACTTTGCACTGAGGTTAAGTTCTAAAACACAATGTTCTCAAATAGATAAGAGTTTACACATTGAAGTAAGGCGTTGGGCGTTGTCAGAACTATCAACAGGCATTTTCTATTATCTGAACAACATCTCTCTTCTTATGCTCTTAAACCCTTTTTTTATTTATTCGAAATAGTGTTGCACAGAGTCATAAAGAATATATATAGGGGCTATTTTTTAATCATATAAGTTACTGACCAATATCAAAATAATCAACAACACCTCATAATCAACAGTAACAAACACTGGCCATTGTTCACAAACTCTCACAGACACAAAACAATCCAAACTCATGCACGCGCACACTCGCAAATACGCACACGCATGTTGCCTGCTTCACCAACATATACATTCTATTCTTGTCTACAATATATATATATATTTTTTTTTTACTCAAAAAAAACTCATCAGCCATGCTGTGAAAACAAAAGCCTAATTCTACTACTGTTAGGGCAGACTAAGCTGAGCAATTAAACAGAGTAAAAGGAAGTTTCAATGTAAGCTAATGGACTGCAGCATCGTAGGGCCACTGAAATTGCCATCTGTCACTCGTGGCGAATTTTTCTTAGGTTTTTTTAATTTTTTTTATTCTTTTCTTCTTTTTTTTTAGGTTTCTCACATCAAAGCAAGGCACAAAAGCCAAAAGCTGTTTCCACCTCCACGTCTGTGTTTGGTCACTCATAATACACATACATGTGTGTTTGCTACACACACACGCTCACGCACACGCGCACACACGCAACGCACACGCATACCCACAAATCTTGTGGTTTAAAGCCAAATTAGAAGACAAGCGTATTATTTTCTATGGGGAGAACACAGACCGCTGATTTGATTGCAAGAGAACGCACAAAGCTGCAATTGCATACTATGGAATAAATACTTGGAATGTTCCCTTAGAAAAAGTCAGTGGGGGTTTCCTGTCTGCTGGAAGAGGTGAACTTCATTCAGCTGTGTTCTGGCATTAGAGGGGAAAACCTCTGAGAAGGGAATTCAACATCTGATATTCTGCTTTATCAGACTCATTGACCCTAATCTCACTGAGGCAGAAGAAGCCCTCACCTCTTCTCTGTTTTTAACACTTCCTGCCTTCCCTGACTCTCGGGGTGCTGCGGCTGGTTTCTTGTGCAAACTCTCTTTCCCTCTCCTCTTCTTCTACATTCTCTCGTCTCTATCTCTCAATCTAACGCTCTTTCTCGTTCTTTTTCCTCACTGCACAGAAGACATCCGACACAGATCAGCTTCTCACTAGCAGTTGAAACACAGCACTAAGTCAGCAAAGGCCATTTAGACTGAAACGATTTAGACTGAAACGAAATTTTAAAAAACTGCTACAATAAGACAAAAAGTAATCAGCGTTCTGTTATATCCACTATGACAGTGGCAGGGGAGGTAAAGATTCAACAAGTCAGTGCAGTTCCAGTATCTACCACCTCCAGCCCTCATTGTTCACATTTTTTTGTCACAATATAACAGAGGAGAGGGCTTCGGAAATGAGCTTGGCGCAGCCCACTTTACAAAAATAGCAATAAAAAGCACATAGGCATGCAGTCTCTATGCGAGAATTAGCAAGGTGTCAGTTTCCACATGCACCAAATAAAAGGTAAATATCCTCCTCCAGCATCCAGGATTTTGATGTTTCCTTTGTGCTTTTTTTTCTCTCTCTGTTACCTGCATACAATGAACAGATTAAGCACAATTTCCCAGATATTTATGTTGGTTTACAACACTGAGAGGATCAAACATTCTTTGCACAGTCCTGTAGAGCATGATTTATCTCCTACTGTGAAATGACTTTGAGGCAAGTAAGCAGGCAATGCTTTCTGCTACCAGATCTCCTGTAAAGGCAATAATCCCCCTGTAAAAGCCCATGTGTGACTGAATATCTATACTTTCTACACAAACGGCATATTTTTTTTCTACCAGTAGATTGGATAGATGTGTAAATCATCTATATATCCATCAGATGAGAAGCTGTCCAACAGAAACCGTCTCAGTTTAACGCCCTGAAGGGGTAGCAAAACTCTCCAAACCCACAGAGCTCCCATTAAAGGGACTATGGAAAAAAAAGAGGGTAGCATCTATCATTTATGATAAGCCCACATGTGCCTCACTAGCATGCTCACTTCGTCTTTGGGCCTGCTTTTGGAAAACAAAAACAAAAAACAACACTAAAAAAATAGACTACAAAAATAAGTAGTAACATTCAATACTTTGATTGTCTTTTGAAAATCTATTTATTTTCTGCATATGTGGATGACCTTAGGAGATTTCAAGCGCATAAACGTTGAAGGTGCACATCTATCTTTTTTTTTCTGATTTCATCATCATCTTTTTTTTTGTCATTTTTTTTCTGTTGTTCTCAACATCTCAAACATGAAAAATAAAAATATTGGTCCACAAAGCAGCTATAACTGTGCGGTATCAAGTGCTTTTGTACAAAAAGGGAAAAGAAAAAAACGATATTATTAATAAAATATTCATTTTAATGGCTTTACTTCATACATAAATACATGTTGAAAGAACACAGGCGCAATCCACTGGTTGGTCAGGTATATCTGAATGACTTTGAGTTAACGACTGGATGTATATACACAGGAGGGCAGTTTTGGGCGCTTTTTCTTTCTTTTTTCTTTCTTTTAACGGAGCTACAAATAGGCGAGCCGGCGTCCTTTGTTCCTAACTCTCTGTCTGTACCTTCTACCCAGAACCGCTGCCAGGTATTTCTGCACGGCCATCTGCTTTCTATAGCGGCTGTAGCTGTCGGTGAAGATCCCATCTGAGTGTCTTTTGGACAGGGGCTCTGACTCTTCCTCCATGCTGTTGTCGTCACTGAAAAATAATCGGGAGGGGAAAAGATACAGAACGCAAGAAATCACGATAAGATTCGTTAATCAAGCAAGTTCAGCATAAATTTGTGTTTTAGAATTGTTATTACTATTATTACGACCATATACAGAGATTACGCTTTGATCAACAGTTGGGCCTTTATTCTTTTGTTTTTCGTTTTTGTCTTTTTTTTTAAATATGTGGAAAATATGAAAACACCGAATTGCGCCTGTGATTTAAAGAAGCGTATCAATTATTCATTTGAAGCCCAGTGGATATTCTGACGCATGATTTTTCATTGGCGCACAGGTTTAGAACAGTTAAATCATAAATTAATGGTGCAATCACACCTCAGTTGCAGGGAATTTGAGAATAAGACTCCTGTGTTTATTACTTTCGTTTTGCAAATCAGAAACATTGTATGCATAATGAAGACCTCCAGAGGGTTTTATGGACAGGCAACACAAAGAATAATAATAAACAAATAAATAAAAATCACGCACATATGATGAGTGACGCAAGCAGCCTGAAGTTGTGCAGCGCAGCAACGTAAAAAGAAAAAAAAAACGCTGAAGAGAAATGCCCTTACCCTGCACGAACAGTCATCAGAGAATGCAGATAATGTCTCGCTGTTAACTGACCCAGGATCTCCCTCAAGGCTCTATCTAATTCTTCCTCAGCATGCCTTTCTGGTCTGAGATGATAAAACGCCAAAAAACACATACATCATCAGAGACTTAAAGAAAAAAGAAATAATGACAGAAACAATGATAAATTAAATAAAAAGAGGCGCAGACAAAAATGATTCAAGACAGCCTAAATGCCCCCACCCATCGGCATGAGGTTCAAAAATAATAGTAATAATAATAATAATAACAATACCAATTTAAAAAATAAATAAATAAACAGCTTTTTTTTTTTTTTAAGCCTTAACATGCTCTCCCTCCGTGATCTTTATGTTCAGCAGAATGGAAACAACTTGAGGCTACCGGGTATGGAAGTAAGACTGGATAAAGTACACGCGGTGCTCTGTCCCAGCTGCAGTACGCATTCAAGTGGGATTTACCTTTTTTCTGGTGGGTAGTACAGGCTGTACGCATCGTCGTTTAGAGATGGGGGGCTTCGTATAGCAAGCTGGTCGCTGTCAAAGCCCATGTCGGATAGAGAGTTGCCATCCTCATCAAACGCGTCGTTTTCAAGTCTGCAACGTGCAAGGCAGTCGTAAGAAATCCAATGCAGTAAAAAATAATAATAATAACAAAAAAAAATGTGTGCCTCAAACCAGCAGGCACGCCTTATGTGTTTCTGATGAAGTAAGAAAAATATTAAAATATAATTTTATAATAATTACTTAAAATGACAAACATTTCGATAAACCCTTTTTTCCTTCGGGTAGAAAATCTGTTTTATATTCCAACTTGCAACTGCCGATGATTTCAGCGCAGACTTCAGACTCATTAATTATTAAAAAATTGAAACAATAGGTGTTGAAAAAGATCGCCTATAGGCTATAAGAGTGTGGGCGGTGGAGCCTCAGAAGAGAGTGGGGGAATAAATCAATTAAAAGACTGCTTAAAAATAGCTGCAAAATTCCTGAATCGAAGGGAACCACGCCCAAATTTAATTCTGGATATTCTTTTCGCAGGAAAAAAAAAGAATAAAGAAATAAATAAATCTTAAGAGCTCTCCGATTCGTTTTGCCTCGCCTCTCCTTGGTGACGCCAGTCCATCGTCATCCCAAGGGCTATCCAGCGCACCGACTGCTCTCTCATTTTTAATAAGGGGGAGTTCTGTGGGCCGTCCCACCGGACTGATACATGTACGCAATTTCCATAGACATTTTCCACTCAACACCTGCGTTTGAGTGCTTTGGGAAAATTATTGCACACCCATGTTTTTTTTGTTTTTTTTTTTCCAGCCCAGCGCTCTAAAATTGCGCCTATATTTGCGCACTTGTCTGAAATAAAGACATAGGAAAACAGTGCGATTGTAACATTGAAACATATGCTATTAAACACAATATTGAAATGAATCATTTAAAGAAGTACATCTTTAGTAAGGAAGGATTAGGACAAACCTACCTGATCTTAGGGTAACTTAGTCCTATAGGTGTACAGAAGGCGCTGTAGTGCATTAAGATTCCGTAGATGAGCAAGATTAAAGTGGCTTTACTCGAACTGGCCATGCTGTTGATGAAATACAGTGAGGAACAGGTTACTTTCTATGCTGAAAAATGAACGCTCTTTATTTAATCATATAACAGACGCTGGCTGCTATTGGTTTTTTATATTTATTTTTTAACTAAAGAAAAAAGCGAGCCATACGCGCTGCCTTAATAAAACCATTCAGGTTTACTTTGTTTTTTTTCTTTGTGGTGAAAGTTTGAGGTTCAGATTTTCCTCACAAAAAAATTTTAATTAGACAGTGGGAAAAAAGGCGCACATACCTAGAGCAGGAAAGCAGGTGTAGCGCTGTGTTGTGTAGGCTGTGATCCGGGCGAGGCTTTGTTGTTTGTGCGTGTGTGAGAGTTTGAGACACGGTGTTTCTTCCTCACAGCACTTCTTTCCTGGCTCAAGCGCCTCCGTTGGGTCTCCTTATGTTGATCTCCCCCACTCTTTAGTGCAGCCCGTCTCACTTTAACAGACACAGTGAAATTGAAAGGGACGCAGCCTGGTCGCAAACAAAAAAAGACTCTGCGCTGGGTGTTCTTCTACATAGCGCTGCTCCAAACTTTTGTCCTGCGCTGCTGATTGCCGTGGATTTTTATCCGCGCCTCGTAAGCATTGGCCCCCACCTCCCTCCTCCCCCTCTTCCTCCTCCCTTCACCAAGTCACATTAAGGATGCTATGGACGTCATCAAGTCTTCCTCCCGGAATATAATGGTACAGTTCCTTCCTCATCGATGCATCCATCAGACCCCCGGCCCCCTCCATCCACAGATTGAAGTTTACTTTCAAACTTTCAGTTTTTTTCGCTAAAGTCGGGGAACGTATGCGTAAAGAAAATAAAAGAAAAACGAGTTTCAGATGTAATGGCCGCTTTTTCAAGGTCTACTTGATTCACGTCACAAATTAATATTTAGTTACTGAAAGGGGATTTTTTTTTTTTTTTTTTTTTTTTTTTTTTTTTTTTTTGCTGGTGGTTTCATGTAACCATGTGGCTTTGATAGACGTGGCCTCTGGGGACCGCCGGAGCTGTCCGGTGCTGAAATGAATCGGCTCAGATTGCGACGCTTCCAGACTTCAGAGTCGCATTTTCTAATCGTTTCCAGTAATTGCGCGTTCGGTAACGAGTGTGGTGGCTTTAATGGCCACGCAGCCGAAGTACAGGGTTTCTTGGATTTCTGAAACGCATAAGGCACCTGATAGCGTTTTCCGATATAAACCTACAGCCTTATGTGGGTTTTGTGATGATTCTATTTCTGTAGGCCTATGTCACGTTTTATTAAAACAGCATGCCACTGTGGGATTAAAATGCACTGTTTACATTAAAAAACGAAAACGCTGAGAAAGGTCTGGAGCTGTTGTTGCAAATGAATACTGTGTAGAATTTGCGCAAAAAAGCTCCTCTATGGAGTAAATATGCACAGATTCCATGAAAGTGCAAAAGTGATCAATAGAGATATCTTCTGCTGCACGATTAGCCTAATGTATCATTTATGATACAAAACAGTGTCTTGCAGGGTTTTGCTAAAAGATTCCAATGAATCACTGCATCATAAATGCACAACACTTTATCACCTCCTTTAAAATAAAAATTGCATAACAGTTTATGTCAGGTTTAAAGGATCCGACACCGGCTTACTACCACATGCTTACATCATGTTTACCTCCCATTCAGAAAATTGGGGGGAGGTTTTCTGAATCCTAAGCAAAGCTTATCTAAGGCTACTTCAGGCTATAAATATATAACTTCACTGCAAGCCTAAAATCTCTCTGTATCATAGATGCTCTATTCATCATGTATGACCTTTACTGCACTAGTTTTGCCTTTTTGATGATAATATGGTGGTTATTTTGCTCAAAAAAGCATTTGCATTCTTACTAAGATTTACAGTGAACGTTTTTTTAAAAAAACATTGAGGATAACATATCTTTCCTTTGCACAATTTTTCTGATGTAACTCTTTTTAAAGTAAGGAGGGGAAAAAAGACACATTTTCAAACATGACTTGTGTTACAGTCCTCATGCGTTTGGGGCCCCCTGTTGGCTTTGGAGTTCCAAGCAATTGCTTAGTTCACTTATCCCACGGATTTGCACCCTTTGTTAGCTTCTTTTTAACAGCTTTCAATTACTTAAAAGTAAATAAGACAATGTAATATGTAAGTCATGCTATTAATACTGCAAAAAAAAAAAAAAAATTCAAGGTAGATGTAAAAAATGTGACAGAATGACACATTGATTATAACAAAAGTATTTTCCTTTTATTACACATAATCTGAGTATCTGGTATATGATTTTGGATATATCCTAAACCAGAGTAGCGTCTCTCCTGTTTTCACCTCCGTTTTTGAAGATTTTCCAGGCACATACCCGGAATGAAGCAAACCCATCACATTCCCTCTGGCTTGCCAACACCTTGGGATCACCAAGTATGAGCTGGGGAGTGTTACTGGGAAAAGAGCTGTCTGGTTGTTCCTACAGGACCAGTTAGCTCTATGACCCAATACTGGATAAATGAAAGATAATATCTGAATAGACCTTGAACCTTAAAAATGTATTTGAATGCATGTTGATTCAATTACAACATGCGCAAAATCTGTTGTATGCAGATTTTTTCTGCATAGAGGAGAAATCTCTATGGAGTCAATTTCTATGTCTAAAAATGGCCCCCTATCTTTTATTCTTCTTTTGAATAGCTTTCATATGATAACAGCTTAAGCTGTTGATTTCCCCTGCTTTCTGGTTTTGGTGTGCCTCCTCCAATATATTTAAATGTCTCCCAATCTTCTAAGTCTTTCGAGAAACATCCATGCCTTCAGTTAAATGGCCCACTTCATTATGGGAGTTAACCCTTCCTGTTTATTGGCTTACGTAAAGGAAAGAGTTTTAGAATCCCGAGTTTAAAGGATGAATTCCTCCATTAAAATGTGACTAATCAAATAGACGCGTTTAGTTGTGAGGGGCTCGTCCTGGTCACCGATGGGGAGCTTTAGCTGATCTTTTGATTTGATTGAATCACACCTACAGCTCACCAATAACCTGCAGAATTTGCCGGAGAGGCGCACGTCAGCGTTTTGTTTAGGCTGACGCATTATGACGAAGAGACCCAGTCATCGCCAGGAGGGGCCTGATCCAAAACTTTTTTTTTTTCTTAGGACGTGATGCTGAGCAACGCCCAACTTAAAGCCCATACCGCTGAACTGGAGCTGACTACTAATGTTAGGCCTGCTCGTTGCAGCAGGTGGAGATGCGGATCAGTACCCTGAGCAAACGGCGCCATCATGAGGAAAAGAAGTGAAATATGATTTTATAAAAAAAATAAATAAAAAAAGATGATATTCTTTTTTGTTGTTGTTTTTGTTTTGTTTTGCGTGCATGACTTTGAATGTGAACGATGCAAGAAGGTGTGAAAGAAACTGAGCGATTTATTCAAATCCAACTTTAAATCAAACCAAAACGATTAGAAGAATGAATGAATGAATGAATGAATAAATAAATAAATAAATAAATAAATAAATAAATAAATAAATAAATAAATAAATAAGAGAGCTAATTGTACATCTCAAGGAATGTCTGTTCCTTGAGATGTACAACAACAAATGTAGCTCAAATCATATAATTTTAAGATTTTTCGGGTTACAGATATAAATCTAAAAGTATTTTGAGTGGATTTTATGTGACTTATCATCACACAGTAGTGCATAACTATTAAAAAAGGAAACATGGCTTTAGTGGCCTTTTTCCTTTTGCCTAAGTAACAAGTAATGTAATATGTTTACTTAGGGTTAGGTTATGAAACTTATATCCAAAGCATTGAGCATCAACCTTGCTCAGTCCATCATCTGAAAATGAAAAGATTGCATGGCTTAACAAGACATAACTACCCACCTAAAATGGCAGGCCAGGTAAGAAGATTATTAAAAAAAAACATCCAAAAAGCCTGTGGTAGGAACTGTAGAAATCCACACAATTTGATGACAAGGAAATTAATAGTCATGCACTCCGAAAAAATCTGGCATTTATGGAAGGAGTAAAATCCATTGTTGACAAAGTCAGAGTGGACTTTTAGCACAATAAAAAAACTGCCTTTGAAATCACTTTGTAATTTGCTGTTGTGAACAGACTGATGTAGAACATTCTGCAGAGGAACAGGATGGAGGGCGTGCCTTAAGCACATTTTTAGCAGTTTATTTTTATTAAAATTAATAAATTAAAGTGAGAAGATTATCAATTAATTAATGTATTAGTTAAACTAGCTTAAAATAAGATTCCCTTCACTTAAAATTAATTTAATATTAACCTTCCCCTGTGTGTGTGAGATGTTGTAACATCTCTAGTAAGACACAATTTTCCTTTCTCAAAACCTTTAAAAATTCAGCAGAAAGTCTTTAATCTGCAAACATGTAACCCTCTAAGTAAATGTTTAAGTTGGATTGTCAATATTACATTTTTCCTTAAAATATTTTCCCTCCACCACACTTTTCATTCATTCATTTGAATGAACAGTGCACTGATATTAGGAATCAAATGGATTCAAAGCAGTGTGAAAAATAAAGGAGAACGCGATTTTCTAGAAGCATAATGCACATTATGCTCCACCGTTAGTGCCTCATGCAGTACATACAAAGTCATAAAAGACAACTGTAGGGGGCACCAAACACCTTTGCACTGTAATTGAGTTCAAAGGTTAAACATAAATACAACAGTTCAATTTTATTTTTATTAAAAGTTCTGGCAATGAAGAGATGTTTTGTGAGGGTTTATGAATGTCATGTGTAGTATTAATGCAGCTCAGAGACTGACCGGATTTTTGTTTTACTCTATTGTAATAGACAGGGACGTCGGCCATATTGGATACACATTGAGCAGGATTCGCTGTGAACTTCAAGTGCTGTCGGAAATAACACACCCGGAAACTACTTCCAATTAAAAAAATAAAATAAAATAAATAAAAAAATATATATCTATAAAAGAAAAGAAAAAGAAAGGGGAAAAAATATTGAGACACAATTCTCCAAATGTAGTTCATGAAATAAAGTTCAGACATATTAGTTTGTTTTGATACAGTTGTAAATAGATTTTCCAACCCAGTTTAGCTTTAGGACAACCAGTTTTATAAATGCACAAAACAGTAACATATTTTCAATTATTATGGGGAATACTGACAAAAAAACAATACATTTGGTGTCATAAAACTAGTTTAATAGAACATGCATGTTTTAAAGTCAAAAATTCAGTTACAGATCAGTTAATGTCTTATGAAGCATCTGTATTGATTTGCGAAAAACTGAGCAGTAATTAACATTTGATTACACATAAAAGTTCAATAAAAACATAATGAAATAATTGATAAAAATGAAACAGGAAAGTAGATTACTTGAGCAGGAGAATTTCTGCTTAGGTAATCTACCTTTTGGAAACATTATACCTTTTTAAGAACCAGTTGTTAATTTTTTTAATATATTTAGGTTAAAAATTAGTTGCTTCAAAACATTTTTCAGGTAGAAATATTACAATCTATTGTTAGCCACCTGTGTAAAACAATCACTGCAAATGTAAAGCTCCTTTAGGATATTCTCCTTTGCTTTAGGAGAGAATAGAAAGGATACATTTTCTGGTAAACATTTTCTTATTTTTAATTAAGATTGAGAAGAAAACATAATAATTTAATTTAGTATTCTTTTGACAGCTATATTTCTCACTCACTCACTCACTCAACAGATGATCTACTGAACTAATCCTTATTCAGTACACTTTATTTGTTCTTGATGGAAATAAATGTAACGGTTGCTCGTTTTTGGTCTACATTTGAAATATGGATACAATTAGAACAGAATAGAAAACCCCGTATGTGAAAATGAATTAAAAATAAGGAGCTTCAGTCAGTTCAATGTATTTTAGGTCTGAGATAACATATCTTGCGCTGCAAAAAGTTAGCCTCTGAACGAAATGTGTATATTCCGAGTCTAATCTGTACCCGTGAACGCAGCATGATTCCTTCTTTGGCCTCATTGCCTCTCTTCTGTACTAGTCCTGCTATTGTTGTGTGTCTTTTCTGGGCGACCCTCACCTACCGCCGGTGATTCCTCACACTTAACCTCGCGTGTTTGCCGCAACGTTAAGCGGAGCTCAGTGTCCTTTGTGTAGGGATACAAAGAGGAGCCTGGTGAAGGACTTATAGGGAGCTGGGGAAGTAGTTAATCGGCATGGGACAGACGGAAGACTGAGATTCCTCGTTCAGAGCGCTTGTGTCGCCCGTTTCCTCCTATTTGGATTCTTCCACGAGAAACTACAAAACGCCTGGTGTTGGAGGACAGAAGGGGGGGAAAAACGACCACAGGACGCATGTAGCCGACGTACGACGCTGCTAAGGTTGGTTGTAAGGTAAGAAATGCCCGCCTGGGAGAAAGGAGAAAGTCACGTTTTGTCGTGGAAGTGGAGCGAGGAGGGCCTTGCGGTCTACAGTCAGTAAAAGTTGGTGAAAGGAGCAAGAGAGTTAACTGGTGTGGTAACATGTCAGTCGGTTTAATGTTTACTCCGATCTGCTCCGGGATTCCAGTTTTCCAAGCTAGTTTGTTAAAATGTCTACAACAATTACTGTCGGAATGTATTTATTTAGCAGTTTCTAAATGAACTGTTTAAAACAGGGGAAAACAGGACAACTCAGAGATGCATTTTGGGTTTTTAAGAAATATTTATTTGCCCTGCTAATTAAGAGTTAACCATCTCCTTTTTTCTGTTTGCCTCACCCATTTTTTTCTCCCCCACACACACTCTCTCAATATACTCAATCAGCTGCTGCAGGCCTCAGCTGTTGGAGGCCTTTAAAACAATACCCATGGGAGTCTCCAAAACTTATTTGAGCGTTTTGCAAAAGTTTGTCTGAATTCTTACATGCTTTTATTGTGAAGGTGCCCCTAAGATATGCAGATTTTTGTACAGATATTTGCGACATTTTTTGAGGGTTAATTAGCTGGCCAATAGGTCAGATATAACATTTCTCATAGTTTTAATGTTTAACCAGTTGGTTCATCTTTATGCTCAAGACTTACAAATGGAGTTTCTGAAGTTTGGGGAAAAACAAGGCAACACATAGGAAAATGTGAGTTAGTTTTAACTGATCATTGCAATATAGAGCAGGAACACCACAACCTCATGTACTCCTAATATCCTGCAGCAATGGTGGTTGTTATAACTGTCTCCCTTACTGAATATCTCTGTTTGGTATACTCCAGTGGCCCAGTAATCCTCCTCCACGGTAATCCCTCTCTGTCAGTACAGCCCCAGTTGGCCGGACAGTTGTGTCTCCTCCACTTCCACACACAACCACACACATTCACACAGAGGCACTCGCTCACAGCTGGAAGCAAGAGGACTGTTGGCGGAGGAGTGAGGAGCAGGAACAGGTGGCGTTGGCCGGGGTTCAGGGACTTTGGATTTAACTAGAGCTGCTGAGGATCCTCACATACTCCTTGGGTGTCCTCATGACACAAATAAGGCTCTGCATCGTCATTTACAATTTGCTGATTAGCGACTTCCACGATTTTGTGCCAGGAACATAGAGAACCTAGGCTGTCACGGGACGTCTCCACCTGCAAAAGGAAAGTTCTCAAGATTTCCCAGCTATTTAGTGGGAGCTGCCCTTCATTTTTATAGCTGAAAGATGGCTCGCTTTTTTTTTTTTTCCCCAGCCTCGTTCCAGCCTTTGACAGGCCCAGCAGGTGGCCTCAAAAAGCATGAATGGATTCGGAAGGAAGTTCAACCCCTCATCCCTCCTCGCCCTCCCCGCTTCCCCTCCCGCTGGCCGCTTCCCTCCAATCACTGTGATTGGCATCGCTGGCAGCCCAGATTGAAGATAAAGACAAGCCGCAGCAAGGAGAATAACCCTTGTTCGATTAGTGGGAGCTGGTTTCTGCTGAAATAGTTTTGGTTGTAGATTTTATGAGCTGGTATTTACCCCTGAGCTATTTCAAAGGGGGAAAAAAATAACTCTGCTGCTTACTGCAGAAGCTCACGAGGATTTTCTTGAAATGTCACAGTGATTGAGTAAATCTCTCAAGACATTTGACAAAATGGCCTGGTGCATGCCTGAAGTGCTTTACTAGAAAGAAAAGGAAGTTTCTTATCACAACTTATTCAAAAGTCAGATTGTAATCTCACAATCTGACTTTAATGCCGTCCGTGCTGCCACATGCCAATTAAACGCCATTTGGTCATTGAAAGCGGAAGTGATATTTATTGCATGCAAAATGCTGGCGTGAGCACTGATCTGTCTCCTGAGAGAAAGGATGAATTCTAATAACAAGTGTGAATGTGTGTGACCTACTGAGAGCCACTTACTTGTGATCATCTCTCCACAGGCACATGTTAATGACAGGTATGAACACAGGTTTTATTGTTGCATTTTTCTTTATCCGTTTGCAGCTGTTTTTTTTTTTTTGTATGTAAACAGTGTAGCATCTTTCTCAAGAAAGTGATTGCATGGGTTTATTTCTGATTAAAAAGTAATAGACATCTCTCCTTTTTGCTTTTTTTTTCAAATAAAACGTTAACATCATCTTTGCAAAATTGCATCCTTAAAGTTTTTCCATTTTTGTTACAGCTACATGCTCTGAAATATCTTATTATGTTTTTATGTTGTGAAGGGTTACTCAAAGCAATGATTGGAACAAAGTTTAAAATGTCTTACTCACATAAGGTCAATATGGATTTTCTTAACCTTCATGCAGTATGCTAACAGTTCATAGTGCCATGTTTAAAATGCAAAATAATTTGAAAGCAATTTTTTTATGCCTACTCCGTAATAAATTAAGGAAAGTGGAACAAACTGTTATATGTTTGAGAAAGGATTTCAGAGGTTTACTTTAATAAAAGACAAGTGCACAGTTTCCCAGCTTTGCACCAAATGTTGACAATTTATTGCTCCAGAAAACATTTTTTGTCTATTTCCATTAGCAAAGATGAGAGTCTTCTTCAAAAGCACTTGGTATATTTAGCCAAGTTTAATGAATTGCTGTGCCATTAATCTAGTGGCCCAAATTAAAGATTACTTTTCTCACTGTAAACATCACTTTAAAAAATTATAAAAAGTAAGGAGGCCACATTTGTACCATTCCTGAATAACAGTCAGGGGTCCATTATCCCAACCTTTCAGGTCGTTTTGGGAAGTTCATGGTGTATAAATACTTTTCTAAATGCACCGTTTTTCTAAAATAAATGAAGAAAATCACTTTGCGGTTGGATCCTCCTTATGAAATAGATTCTATCACTTGGCAAGCAGAACATGCATTATACAAATTAAAATATGTACTGGCTTGAATTAGCATTACTATTTGTGCTTTGCAATACTGCAGCATGTGCATAGATGTACAGCAAAGCAATTGAAGGTCAGATTCATCTGATGTGAATATTTGCCTTCTCGTGACCTGCCATCAGGGAAATAATTGCAAAATGTCAGATGTGGTGCATGTATGGGCTTATTATGCATGTTCAGAGCAGCTATTAACTGATTCATTTCAATGAACCTTTCTGTGTGTGTGGAAAAAGAGCTTATCTTTATAGGATGGTTAAAAACAGCAACCATACAGTGTTGGGGTGTCTTATTTCTCTGTGCAAGACATTTCCAGGAAGGCAAACTATGTCATCCTTAATTTCTGTGAAATAAAAGCCTCGGTTTATGTGGTGTGGTGAGTTCCGTATCCTCAAAGGTCCCGATTGTCTCAGATTAATCCACAGTGACAGTAAAGGTTGCATAAGGTGGAAACTCGATTGCCAAACGGCCTCTGCAGAGTTTAATATTTCATTATTCACTATAGTTTGAATAATTTTTCATCTCACAAAAAGTATAAGTGTGCAACAATCTTCTGTTGCATCTGCATGTTGGTCTAGTAAACTGACAGACGTGACGCTGCTTGTAGAAATCTCTCATGATAAAATAGTCTCAGGATGACAGTTTCAAAGGATGCATTCAGAAAATCTTTGTTTCTCTTTCTCAGTTTAGATGTGTGGCAGCTAAAGAAAAGTGTCCCGCCTGCAGTGCTGCAGTATTGTTGTTAGGCCCTGTGGGAAGCAACAGCCTGTGTCTCCCTAATCTGACATGGCATCACAGGCTGTCTGGCACGAAGCTCCACATGTCCTTGGATGGGGTCTGGCCCCAGCATTCAGTTGACCAAATAACGGTGTCTTTTGTGGATTGTTGTGTTACTGTGAGGGAGAAGTTCCCCATAAAATATGTATTGGCTATTTTGCAAAGTTTTCTGATATTATTTACTTGTTTATAGATATAGGCCAATTTGTTAGATTAATGTTATAAACAGAAAAGCAACAAAATGATAGTGATACAATGTATGTACCTTTGAATTTTTATACAAAGATTTAAGCAAAAATGCAGATGAAAAACAATTAGAAGTATTGTAAGTTGTTGTTTTTTTTGGTCTAAAACATGTTCTAGTCGTTAAGTGAATTCACTGGGCTTTGATTTAGACACCTTTCTAGACATCTGTGGTTTCTCTGAATGGAGATGGCATTGGGGAGTGATGGAGCCAATCTACTGGTATTCCAACTCGAGTAGAGACGAAACAGTTTGCTGGCCTTCAATCAAGGAGAGTTTCTTCATTATGTCAAAAAGCGATCCAGACAGGATACGTTGCACGCTTTAGAAAGAAAATTATCTGAACTAAATACTCTTCCAGTCAGACCAACTACCCCAAAGCCAGACACATTCATACACTGAAACAGTTCAGTATGCAGTCATGTTCCCAAGTTGATCAACATGTCGCAGGAGAGGAATCTAGAATCCAAACTTCAGCTACTCTGGCAGTCTCTGGTCTCTGAGTGAATGTAAAATGGTATGATAGGAAATTTTAGCCTCTTTAAAACCATAAACATGTAATGCTTACTTGCATAACTCCTTTGTCATAACTCACTTATGCAATTAGGCATAACGATTGTACTACACTTAAGTCATGACAAATTACAGACTGAAATGATTTGAGGTTTATTAAAAATTCTAGTTGTGTTATGAAGAGTTTTTAAGAGTTGTTGAGAAGTTCAAAAACTAAGAAACTCACAGTTCATTATTCTTAAAATTGTTGTTGGGCCAACCACTGGAAAATAACACACAGCTAAAGGGGCTGACTTTTAATATGTGACCTGCATCACCATTTGAGTTTGAAGCACAAGAGTAACACATTTCTTTCTGTTTATGTCATTGTGTGTATAAAAGCCCCATTTAAGAGACCATTACAGAGAGGACACAGTGTTGTGCAAGGAATTCAATTTGTCACAAAGCTGAGTTGTCTCACAGGGAATTTTTGTGATATTTATTTATGCATTTTCTATTTTAATTGTCACAAACATTTTCTTGTTTAAAACTGGTTTCATCC